TTCAAGGAATCATTCCAAATTTTGCGCACTGTGTTTTGACTTATTTAATGCAGACGTACTTTACCCGCGGTAAACATGATTACCAAAATACTTTAACTTGAGAGCTTCTGCTATCCTCTCTGGTGTAATTAGTCACACTGCACTCTCTCTGCATTTAGGGGGAGAGGAGGGAAGGGAAGCGGCACACACAGCATCTTGCAAATGTGTCTATACTTCTCTCCAGCTGCTTGCCTCACTCTTTGGAGTTTTCAGAGCGTCGAACTCTTGAAACAAGGGCAGGGAAGTGGAAAGTTCCCAGAGTCGTCACCTGATCACACAACTTCAAAGACAAGGGACGAGAGACCTCATCAAGGGGAAAGCTTTGGACACTGAAGAGGCACAGCCCAGGTGATTGGCCTTTGCGGCTGCCCTAAGTTTTTCAGCATTGGGTTGAGTGTTTCCTTTTCGTGCCCAGGAACCAGCCAAGTCCCCGTGGGTAGTAATAGTAACATAGTGCCATAGAACACCTCACCAAATTTTAACACACCGTGAAATCTGATCTCCCCAACAATTTTATCCAGAATGAGATAGCCACTATCATAATGCCCATGTGAACTGGGCAATCAGGCTGGTCCTGGTCAAGCCAAGTGATTCAACTTTCCTTACGGGACAACCGTGAGGTTTAGTGTTGACGTTTGCTTAGCTGCTAAGAAAGAGTGTGACGCAAGGCAAATTTTCAATGAACAGTGTCCAGTACGCTTCTCAGATGAGGAAACTAAGGCCCAGAGAGACTGTATGACTTATGTATGTCATATACTAACAAATAGATCCACATGTAAATCTTAGCTTTTTATTTTGAATGGAGGAACGCTGTCCAAATAGTGAGATGCACAGGTTTCTAGTATATCTTTGATTTCTAACCTGTCTGGCAACACCGACTCCATTCCTCAGACACCTGGAGTCAGAAAGACTGCGACTTTGTACCTGAGTCCTGGCCTCTGTGGTAGGCACACTGGGAGCATCCTGGACAGGACACGGTGTTCTGGGGAGTGGGGGGCGGGGCATGACTATACTACTTTCTACACAAAATTCTCACCCAATATGCTTCCTATCTTTCGAGGACTGAGAGCGTCTCATTTCTACCTGCTTTGGTTTCTTCTTCATTAGTCTATATCTGTATATCTATGTCTGTATCCATGAATCTATGCACCTATCGAGTTTATCGGTTTGATAACAACCTCTTCAGCAATGACCACATCACTGAAACCCAATCTCATTTTGTCACGTGCTTTCCTTCTTTAAATGTTCTTTTCACTAACATCATACCAATTTTTTCAAAGAGTTCCAAAATCAAAAGAAATATGCTGACAAGGTATCTGTATAGAGACATAAATATATACACACACACACTGCCTGGGTTATGCAGAAATGTTTAGCTATCCCCAACCATAACCGTATAATTTCTTATCCCTTAATTTCCTCCTTTTCTGTTGAGAAATATGACATTCAAAAAAGAAAAAGAAGTTACCTAGGAAGATTTATGAAATACAGGCTAAATGAGGAACAAAGAAAACATGCAGAACATACTCAGGGAATGAAAACATTCACCAGTATAAAAATTGAAATAAGGCATTCTTAAAGGAATAGATAACATTGAAGAGGGGGGTACAGATGAGCAGAACTGGAGAGAGTTTTCTTTTCGCTTATAAATTTTATTTATTTTTGTAAGTTTATTTGTTTATTTTGAGAGAGAGAGAGTGCACGTGCGCAGGGGAAGGACAGAGAGAGAGAGAGAGAGAGAGAGTGTCCCAAGTGGGCTCTGTGCTGGCAGTGCAGACATGGGGCTCTATCTCACGGACCAGGAGATCATGACCTGAGCCGAAATCAAGAATCGGACGCACAACAGAATGAGCCACCCAGCCACCCCTGTAAATAAATTTTATAAATAAATAAAAAAAAAAAAACCTATAAATTTTAAAAAGGAGGAGAAGTTTTGATCGTATCCATCAGGAAGTGAGTCAGTGAGTCGTGGCCAAAGTAAGAGGTGGTCAATAAACTTGATCATTTGGAAGCACAGAGAAAAACAAATGTGACTCTTTACCAGCAGAACATCAGCTTTGCCCGGTCCCACTATGACCTTCCTTTTTCTTTCCCCTGCTGGAGCCACCTTACCCTGTCTCCGTGCTCAGCTTCAAACCCACACTGGCTGGAGTGATTTTAGCCGCGGCATCCAGTGTCGAGGCGATCAAGACTAAGGCCTGCTCCCCTCCGGCACGACTGGGCCTTGGATGAGATAAGATCAGGAAGATCTCCGTGCAAAGCCGGACGGGCGCCTCAGGCAATAAGAAGAATCTGTAATACCAACGCTGTCTTTATTAAACAGTTTGATATTTGGTTCATCATGGACTTTTTTGCATTGATTTTTATTTTTATATCTATTGCATTAAAACAGTATTTCTCTTGACTGCTGAGAGGTTTTGGTGCCCCGTGAATTTGCACTCACAGCAAGTGCCTCGTCCTTCCGCTGCTGCCTTCCAGTTCCCATCAGATCAGTATCCTCGTGAGTAGCCGGGCTGAAGTCTTACTCCCTGAACTTGTCCCTATTCTGTTTCCTGGTCTTGGTTCCTGAGTCCTTGCTTCAGGATTTGAGGTTGGTCAGTTCTACTGAGACCAGGGTCCTGATATTCCTTCCAGCTCCCATCCAGGTATGTTTCTAAAGTGCGTTTCAATCCAGCACAACCCCTTCTCACAGACTATCCAATTATCGATTTCTTTCTTAAATTTCTGAACACGTCTAACTTCCCATATCTAACATGATAAACAGGTTAATGCCTTGTGTAATTTCAGCTGTAATTTCCCATCAGAGAAGGTACAGCCTTAAAGGAAACATTGACGTTTCAGTACTTGCTGTCACAGTTGGTTCTCAACGAGCGTTGTTACCTAATTGGATATGAGTTAATGACGGATATGTTATATAAAAGCAAATAATAATCTCACTAACAATATTTTCTCTTTAAAGATGTCTGCAACTCATTATGATGCAAAAAATATATTACTTTTGGATATAATTTTTATGACTCTAAAGTTTTATTTATCTTCACACCTCCACCCTTGCTGCCAATTGAAGAAAATGCCATTTTTTTTAACTCTATATTGGGGGAGGAAGCATAGAAGTCAGCATATCTGTGATCAGTTAGTTCAGCCACCTCTTCGTATAAGCCAAGTAAGCATTCAACATAGTGCCTGTCAATTAATTGACCTCCAATGTTTGTTGAATGAATAAGTGTGCGAATGAATGAGAGTGATGATCTGAGAATAAAAACGGACTAATATTCCCAACTAAAAAGTGACCTAAAATTAAATTTGGAAACACTGTCTGAATTTAGAAATTTAGCAAGAAAAATGGTGACTACTGGAGGTAAATAGATGTTCCATCCTTTTTTTTTCCTTTTATTTATTCCTCCCATTCTTTCTTTCTCTTCGCTATTGGCTGTTGATCCTGTGAGTCTTCACAAAACTAATAAACCTGATAACAGAATGTTTTATGAAGGCAAGATGTCCTAAGCTAAAGTGCAAAGGACATGGAATAGTTCCCCAAGATGATGATAGGGCGTGGGGGAGGGTCACAACGGGAGATTCTGGAGCCTGATTTGAGCAGCTCTGAATTTGCGTTAGAGCCGTCTGCCCAACTCCGTAAGTTGCATGGCCCACGTCTTGCTCTCTATTCAAGTCTTAATACCAAATCAGCTTTGAAGCATATGTGCCGGTAGTTGAAGAAGTCAGATCCGTTCTAGAAAGACCATATTGCAAACATTTGCTCACAATCAGTGTCTAGTGTGTAAGTTCAAGATGCTTCAGATGTTTCTCCAAGTTCAAGATGGAAACCTGCATTTACTTCTACTCCATCTCACTGAATGTTAGGAGATGGAAAAATGAACGCCTCTCATCTAACTGTATTTGAAGAGTGGCATCAATTCCCCTGACTCTTGTGTTGATGAGTGCATTCCTTGCTTCAGATTAAAGGGATATAAGGAAAAAAATAAAATTTATGAAATGTCTACTGTTTGTCAGTTGCTGAACTATGCACTATGTATAACATTAGATAGTATATTAGTGTATGTATGCATATGTTATTTGCATATAATTTATATGTAGTTTGAGTGAGATCTCATAGATGCTCTAAGATTGATACTTTGTCAATAAAACACACACACACACACACACACACACACACACACACACACAAAGAAACAAACAAACCAAAACGGAGGCCCAGAGAGATGAAGTATTTTGCCCTAAGTCAGTGCCAGAGCTAGGACTCAAAGGTAAATATTTCCAAATCCTAAATCTGTGCTCTTTCCACTATGCCCCCTTGAAATATCATCAGCACACATTAAACTTTGGATTAATTGCATCTCCTGCTAGCAAAAGACTATCTGTTGATTCCTAGACAAGCCCAGAAGGACCAGGCAATTTGCATTTTCAATGCTTCTGTCCAGCTGGGCACTTCTGCTCCCTGCATAGTGACTAGATAGGTATGGATTTTGAGGAGAGATTACTAAAAGTGCAGATTATCCCACTTCCAGAGACCCTGATTGTGCAGGTCTGGAAAAGAACCTAAGATTGTGACTTTCACAAGTGATTCCAACAACTCAATTAAAGAAATACTTTCCTAGCAAACCCATCAAAAGTAGACAATCCAAAATTCTTCCTTCCTCCTAATCTAGTTAAATCATGCATTTGCTCTTATTAAAAAAAAAAACAAACAAAATACAACTTTCTTTGGTTTGAAGATATTCCCATTCAAAATGAGGAGTGCTGTATCAGATGAAAGTACATCAGGTGCCTGGGTGGCTCAGTCAGTTAAGTGTCTAACTCTTGGTTTTGGCTCAGGTCATGATATATACATATACACATGTACATATACATACACACACACACACACACACATATATATATATATGTGTATATATGTATATATACATGTACATATATATTGATTTTTTTTTAAAAAAAAGGTAAGTCAGTCTTTGATGTACCAGTTGAGACTGAGAAGATGAGATGTGAGGGCAGTAATCAGCCATAGAGGAAGATGAATAAGGGAGATTGTAAAACCATGCATCAGCCTGGCAGGGAATACTCCATGTTTATTCATCTCGACGTTAACACTGTTGAGTATTAAACACTGCAATAGAAAATAAGTTCATGGAGATGGACGAGACAAAGCATCTGTCTTGATAGATGTGAGAACATGTGATTTGTACCCAGCAGAGTGAAAGTGCCGTGACAGGAGGAGACGCAGAGGCCATGGGAAACCAGAGCTGGGGGAGTGGAAAAGTCTCCATTGAAGGAAACAGTTAACCACAATCACACGGCAAGAGTTGGAATTCTGGGACAGTGTGACCTAAGTTGTCCTCAGAGAAGGTGCTCATTTGAGAAGAACAAGGAATGATGAGAGACAAGCCAGGAGGCATCAGAAGGGTCATAGCATGGGCCTTGTAGCCATGCTAAGACCATCGGTTGCATCCTGTAGTAGAAAGTGAACCCCAGAACACCATGTGTGTCGATGAATGGAGGACAAAGTCTCAGACTTCTCAGAAGATTCTGTATCTACGACCTCACAAATATGTGGGCTTCTGTGGGAGGGTGGGGACCAAAGAATATGCTAATCAAATATTATAGTGTATGTGGAGGCCTTATGGTGGAAGAACAATATAGCACATTGGAAAAAAGAAAAGGTTTTTTAAACCTGAAGCAAGAGACAGAAGGGGATTCATAAAAGATAAGGTTCCTCCAGTTCTTGTCATCTCACTTAATTCTCATGGAAATTCTCTGAGGTAGGTTAATTTTACATGTCAGTTAACTGGATGAAGAGATGCCCAGATAGCTGGTAAACATTATTTCTGGGTGTGTCTATGAGGGTGTCTCTGGAAGAGATTAGTATTTGAATCAGTAGATTGAATAAAAAATGACCTTTGCCATGTGTGGGCATCATTCAATACACTGAGGGGTCCAGTAGGACAAAAAAGCAGAGGAAGGATCAATTCTCTCTCTCTCTCTCTCTCTCTCTCTCTCTCTCTCTCTCTGCTTGAGCTGGGACATCCATCTTTTCTTTTAACGCAGAATGAGACTTACACCTTTGGTCTCCTGATTCTCAGGTCTTGGACTCCACCGAATTACATTCCAGCTTGCAAATGGCAGATTGTGGGACTTCTCGACCTCCGTCATTGTATGAGCCAATTCCTATGATAAAGCTTCTCTCATATATATCTATAGATACCTTCCTGGTTCTGTTTCTCTGGAGAAACCTGACTAATACAGGTAGGTATTTTTATTCCCAAATGGCCAATGAGAAAAATCAGGACTCAAAAGAATACATAACTTGGGAAAGGTAGAGATGGAGTTTGGATATGAATTCCTCTGACCACAGAGGCTGAACTCTTTCCTTAATGCCATAACGTTTACAACATCCAGCAGGATCTATGTGTCTTTGCTTCTACTGTGGACATTGTGTCTGTCATTTTCAAAAGACTTGGTGAATTTTCCTTCTTATTGGAACATGATGGCTCGGATAACATTGAAAGAACATGTTACCTCCATCCTGTCATTGTAAAGAGGAAACGGGCAAAGATTTTGGCATTAATCCAAGGAAGGAAGAAAGCAAGAGGGAGAAAAGAGTAAAACAAGTAGAGTTCCAGTTTCCATTATGAGTTTTCCATTAGGCCAATGAAACCCCTGTCCCCACAAGAAATTGTCCAGCAAAGCTCCATGGGAAAGGGAGCTTGGGACAGCCTGACCTGGATGTGAGAGCTCAGATTTTCCCACTTCCCTCTCCAAGCCCAGGGCAGGAGACTAATTAAAGCCAACAGGACTGGCAGAACATGACCTTTTGCAGCTGAAGGCACACTTTGAAATTTACAGGGAACCATGAAAGAGCTCAGCCTGTTTCCAGGACCCAAGTGGAGGTGACAGGATGGGTTCATTAGCCAGAACTGGCCGTCTCGGCCCACAGAAGAGTGGTGTGGGAGTTGATTCGTTCCAGGCAGAGACATGCCACCTGGCGCATCTGTAGCAAAGTTGACGTACGGTTCCCTGGACCATGCTGGAAAATCAGATGCCTTTAATGTTTCTGCCACCTACATGTCCATCGTTGTGGTAAAGTCTGGGTTTTTGTTTAAAGAACTGTCTTTTCCAGGAAAGCCACCTTAAAAAAAAATTCTCTTCAGCATCAGGATTTCATAGGTTTGACAGAAGAAGAAGAAAAAGAAATGAAGGAGACTGTGTGGGCCAACCAGTCTGTTCCCAGGGCCAACAATGAAGATTCCAGGGTGAGCGATGCGGTCTAGGGAAGGTGTCCTGTGATTGAGGTCTTCCAACACCAGTTCAGTGTCTCCCTTGGAAACTTCCTTTCTTGGAGTCTGAGTCTCTCTAAAGAACAATCTGAGAGGAAGGAGGGGAGGCGGAGAGGTTACAGTTGAGACACTACAGGAGTCAAAGAACAGAAAGGACAAGAGGAGAAACGAAGCCAAGGAAGGCTGAGCTCCAGCTCCTGGCCTCAGCCTTGCATACCCAGGTGCCCAGGGACACAGTGACTATCTCCCCTGTGTGGCCCACATCCTCATTTTCAATCGGAGAATGCCAAGATGGCCATCTGGAAGCCCCAACCTACACGTCGAACCCAGCCCCTCATGGGCCCGCACATCGAGTAGGAACGCCAAAGTCAGTCCGTCTTGCCTTCTAAACAGCTCTTGCATCTGCCTTCATCCACACTGGCCCTCGGTAGCTTCACGCCCAGTGGCCTCCTTGGCCCATGCGTCGACAGCTTCCAGAATTGTTCCTCTCCTCCTGCAACGTGAGTGATCTCTCCAGAATGTGCATCTGTTTCTGTCAGGTGGCCTCTCCTCCCCTGCTTCAAATTCCCCATCAGGACTCCAGATTTTCAGGGTAAAACTCAAAGCCACCAACTTATTTTCATGGTCTGATCCACCACAATCCTTCTAAACTTGTCTCTGGCCCCCGTTCCGTGTGGAAAAGTCGCTCCAGCATTGCCACAGACCTGTCTTTCTGCTCGAATCTCTCTTTGCCTACTGCTCCTTCGATATGAAACGTCTGCCACACCACTTCCCCCAAGAACACCTCTCTCTGTCTGGTCAGCACGTCCTCGGATATCACCTGGATGTCACCTACACCCAGAAACCTTTGCAGCTTCGCCCCTCCTGGGTGCAGTGCTGATGGCTGGCCCCTGGAGCTGCGTTCAGCTCTCCCTGCATTTTCCATTCCCCCTCAGTTGTCTCTGTGTCCCTGGGTTGTTTCTGTGGTTGCAGACACACAGCACAGCCAGCCATACAGGAGAAGGTGGCCGACACCTGTTCCATACAGAAAGGGGTGGGAAGGAATAAAACGGGGGGAAAAGGCATAATGGTAAGAAAGCAAAGGACTTTGTGCCATCTTGGGAAGGTGTTGAAACATGAGTCTTAGAATGTCATAAAGAGAGGGAACAGAACGCTACCAGACCTCTCTCCTTAGCTGCGTAGGAACGGTTAACCTCAGCCTGGCGTTGAGATAGATCTTCCCGGACCAACCCGCTCGTCCTCGGTGGCGTGGTCTCTTGCCCACACCCGGGGGTGCTCTGTGTTTGCTTCCTGTGTTTCCTGCCTACCCACTGACACGCGATTTGGCCTCTTTCTCATCAGGGAAGCTATTGTCTCTCACCGCATACGCTTAGTTTTTATTCCGCCCATCCTTCTGAAATGCTCACATCTCCCTTTGACATTTGTCAAAATGGCTTCACCTCCCAACGATTTTGCAAATTCGCTTCATTAGAGACGCCCCCAGAGCCAAGACCTGCTCTTGCAATTTAGCGATTCAGCCACCAGGTGGCAGGACAGTGTTCAAACTGCAAGGCGCTGGCTTTCCTGGCCTCCCCACCACCCCCCCCCCCGGCCCGGCCCGGCATGGCCCCCCTGCGGATTTCCACCAGAGGCAACACCCCTCCCGCCACCCTCCAGGATCAGCCTGCACCCTCCGCTTGGGTGCTTCCAGGGGCCGGATGCTATGAGGCAGCCCGCTCTCTATTCAGGTGAATCTCAGAAGGAGGGGCAGCATGCAACAACTCAACAATATTTTCTGGGCAGATAGGAGGGGTCCAGCATTTTTACAAGAGCTGGAGATACCAAGTGCTCTGCTCTTAGGGGTGCACATCACCTAGTAAGTTTCCCTTTTACAAAAGTCAAATTCCACCTTGAAAAACCCACAGACCCCTGACGGGCTCTCAACCCTGCAGTGTGTCCCTAATCCACATTCCTCAGCCCCCCAAGCTGCTCTGTTCTCTCCTTTCCTTCCTCCTTGCGCCCCAAGGAGCCTGTCAGAAGAAACAGAGAGAAAATAAGAGGCTATGGTGGCTCGGTTCCCTAGGTTGTTTTCTTCTTTTTTTTTACCCATAAGGGAAAGATTCAAATGTCCCTCCACCTGGGTCCCTTTGGTCCGCCTGAGTTAATTCACTCACCAGCTGTTAAGGCTGTTCTGTCCTTGGGTGAAACTTGGCCGCTCACCCGTTTTTCTGAGCCGCAGCGGACTCTGGCCTCATTAGAAGCCATGTGGCCTCCAAAGCTGGCACCATGGCCGTCCCCAGAGTCAGTCCGGATTACATCGGCCTCCTCTGATGGCCAGAAGCAGATTTCACTGGTTTTTCCCCTTTCAAATTTTTGCTGCCTTCTGATTTTGCTTTCTGTCTCAGAGACGCATCTTCAGTTCCTAGCTCGTTTTCACGCAGAGGTGTTATCAAGCTTCCGGATGATGCAGTCTTCTTGTCCTTTTATGCTCCAGACCCCCAAGCAACATCCATCGGGGTTACAGTTCTGGAGAGTGGTGGTCCGAAATATTATCTTTCTATTTTAAGGTTTGCCCAAACATCTTGAGCAGACGGTATGAACGATATAATTTTTGGCAAACTTAAGAGCATGATCCTTCCTGACAGATGCTCAGGAGAGTAACAAAAGCTCACGCAGGATGGCTTTGTGTTCAAGAGGCTTATTAGCATTCCTTGGGCCTGACCCTCACTAGGTTGGGAGGATGTGGAGGAGGCTTTCTGATAGAATTAAGCAGACTGGAAAAGATCTTATTTTGATCTTCTGCTTTCATTAGTGGATATCGTTCACGAGCGTGTTGAATTTGGGGAAGGAAACTAGCCCAGAGTACCTGCCGTGCATACGTCAAGCGCCTTGTAAGGTTTGCCTATGTAACCCTCACAATGACTTTGCAAGTATCCTATTATTATCCTTTTAAGAGGCATGAAACCTGAGACCCAAGAGTATATACGTTTAACTAACGTTGCGCAGATAATAGAGATTCAGACCAGCAAGTAATTCTGGGTCTGTTTGGATTCAAACCTTACTCTCCTAGGAAGTGGTATATTTCTTTTCTAAACTAACTTTGATTTCTTTTTTTGGTTATATAAGCAAAATGTGCTTCATGCAGACAATTTGAAAACTGTAAACAAAGTCCTCAAGTCACCTTTAATCTATTACTACAGACAGGCAGATGGGTGGATAGATCATAACATATTTAATTATTTTTCTTTTAGAAATTCAGGGGCAGATTTTCTTCCACAAATAACAATTCCTAGATTACAGTTGTGATTTTTTTCCTGGGGACACGGAAATGCTAGCTCAGAGTATGTGTGCATTCGTGGTTCTAGATACCTATGTCAAACTGATTTCTAGGGACAAATTAGCAGCAATTCTTAGCTGTGTATATTTCTCTCATATTGGAAGAGGCAACAATGCAGGAATTTCTACAGTCTTTGCTTACTTTTTTTTAGAAGGAAACAGCATCTTATTTTTTACTTGTATTGCTAACAAGATCAAATAATCAAATATCATTTGTGGTCATTTTTTTCAATATTTACTTTTCTATGCATTTCTATTTTCATTCATATTCTCTAGCAGGGGTTTAGATATTTCGATATTTGGAATTAGAGGTCTCTCTTCTCATTTTAGGGTAAAAAGTCTACATTTTCCCCTCATAGATCTATAATTTCTTCCTTTGCATTTTCAGAAATGAAAGAGATGACTTTCCCTTTCACGGTCACCCCCAGCACCAGTGCCAAACCCCCTTTTTTCAGGGTAGACTTTGGTTAAGTAGCAAATTCCCTTGGGTCCTAGCAGTTGCCAAAGCTTTTCTCACCTTGACCTGTCATTGCATACCTGCCCCTCTTCCTTCCATTCAGACTTTGCACATAGCTATAAAATCCTGCAAGCAAATTTTGGTTTATGTTACTTCCTATGGAAACTTCCAAGATATGTATATATAAAGAAGACTTTTTTTTTCCTTTAGATACAATATTTAATTTTTCGGAGCCGTTTTAGGTAAACTTGGTAACTTAAGTAACCTTAATTGAATTTTGAGATTTATTTTGGGTCCCTCCGGTTGCTTAGAAGATGAAATATTCTTGAAAATAATTTTGTGTCTTCTGAAGATTGTTAATAGTATAAAATATAACATTTATGGGGACTAGTAATCAATCAGTAAATATTCCTTGGGCTAATTTCTGAATTATCCTGTCCTCCTCTCCAACAATCCAAATCTTAACCGTTTTCTAACCTCAGGCCAAGCCCCTGGCCTGGCCCTGACCAGACTACACAGAAAGTTCTTGCCCTCTCTGAAGTTTTATTTTCCCGTTCAGTCTCCCTTGGCACAAAGCAAAACCCAGCCAAATGTCATTAAACTTCCCATGTGTTTGCATTTTATCTTTTCAACAAGCTTCATTAAGTGTGCATCCATTCAATTCAATTTATTCCGTGATTTATTAAGCTCCTCCTAAGTAAGACTTCGCAAATTTATGTAATTTTACATATTTGTAAACACACACACTTGTAATACGATACTATTCCAGGGAAAGATGAGGAAAGGCTAGAGACTGGACCACACAGCAGTGTGTTCGAGCTGACTCATCACTAGTCTGCAGGAATCTATGGCTAAATTTTGGGGACTGTCGTAAGCTGGCTGTTACACGTGGCCATTATTAAAACTCAAGTGTTCTCTTCTAGATCTGTCCCCAGATTTACGTTCAGTGACATCATTTTGGTAGCTTGATCTTGGCCATGGCTGGAGTATTTATACTACTGAAATTGGCAAACGTTGTCAATCAAAGTTTGATTATGGCTTTGTGGACTGACAAGGCTTAAGAAGGTAGTGGAGGCGATGTTAATGATGTGGACTAAAGTTAAAAGCGTGTTGTGCGTATAGTCAGTATCTTGCGAAGAGCACGAAGAGTTTGAAGAAATATTCTTCCAGGATTTGAATCCTGTTATCCAGTCAGGCCAAGAAACCACTCGTGTCATTGAACAATGTGTAACGTTCTGACATACATGCCGAATACAGTTTGTGTGGGTGGGAAATAGTCTAGCGCGAGGTCACATGTCAGACTTAACAACGATAAACTTAACGAGAAAAGAGCTTTCAGAAAGGGACGTGATGCAATTTTCACATCATGGTTGAATTGCAGCTATAGATTGCAGATACACGACTTTGGCAAAAATCAGCGAAAGCATTCTATGGGAATCGGTTGTTTATGTAGAGGGTACAATGAAGAGTATCGTATCTTTTATCATGATGTGTAAATTATGTGCTGCACATCCTTTATAGGAGTCAAATTTATAAGGAAGTTATATACATGTGTGTGTATACGAACACTATTATTATTATTATTATTATTATTATTGGTGAGCTTGTTAAACATTTATCTGCATATCACTTCATGTATTCTTTGTTGCAAGATGCAATCGTAGTGAATTTTGAACCAGAAGATGGAGAGCTCTGGCTGTACCCCTGGCATCATCTCCATACCCACCCTGGAGATGCATCCTTTCCTACGATGAAATACGGAATTTATAAAATATAGGTAGCATAGGTGTTTTTTTTTTCCCCAGGGGCCCCTTCGGAATAATCTCATTTGTATTCTGCCTGTAAAATACCTACACACGCTTTCTTTTCCTTCTAAACAGGAAAAGCATATAAATGAAATCTTCTTAAAAAGGAACTTGGAAGGAAGACGTAAGCTTCCTAAGTATCACCGAGAGCTTCCAGCCAGCGTCTTCCGAATTGCCCTACCACACGCAGTTCTTTCTCCAGCTCTGGAACTCTCCTCCCTTACACACTCTGGCAGCCCTCCTCCCCGTGAGACATCTTGTTCCAGAACAAGAGACACCTAAGAAAAATAAATTTACGTGTTGTGAAAACGGACATACATCCTTCAGGACTCACGAAAGCTGCCTCCCAGCCTTCCACGCCATCACGTTGCCTGTGTGCTCTCCGGTGTGTTGATCACGGTGTCCACAGGAAGATGATTCTCTTCAGCCTGAAGCTCGTTTGCCCATGTGTAGGGCATTGAATGTTGGTTTCTCTGGGTTAAATCACGGCGAGGAAGGCCTGCTGGGAGGACGCCGTGCAGAGCTGCAGTGACGTCCTCCACCACCGCCCTGCGTGACTCCACCTGTGACACGGCGCCAGCCTAGGGAGTCTCCCCGGAATTACCTTCAAGAAAATGCTGGGTTCAGGCCTCCTCTCCCTTCCCGTACTCTCAAAACCTGAGCCCTAATTTTAATTTTCTCTGATGAACCTGAAAAGATGCCCACTTTTGATTCCTGAAAAGTTGTCCACAAGGAGTAAAATAATTCGATTTAACGGATGAAGAAGGACTTCTGGAATCCACTTGCCCGCATTTAGAATGTTCCGTACCAGGGAATATCAAGGTACTCCCGTTTGGTTACATCTGTGCCGACGAGGTAATCGTGGTTTAAGGCAAACCTTCGGTTATGAGCTAATCAGTTCAGCTCGCTGACTATTGGCCTGTTATGGCAGGACAAGAATAATTAAGTGCCACTTAAAGGTATGGGAAGAACGTTAGTCAGAAATTGATGTGCCTCCAGAAGGCTCCAAATGGCCGACGTTTAATGGTCCTCTGTACGTTGCCATGGCAACTCACTTTGGTACCTCACATATCCTCAGTGTAAGAAAACAAGGGGCAGAGTGTTCTTAGGAAGGTGCAACCCCCTTTAAGCAGATCTAGAAGCATCGCAGATGAACAGAACTTGAAACATTCCGCCATGAATATTCATGAAGTAAGTTGTTTTTTGTTGCCTGCCTAGTCAGCAGTCACAAAACACATGGTGTGTGTTGGCAGCATCTTGCCTAGGTAGAGGGCTATGGACTGAGGCAATGGCAGCAACCAGGACCTGTGAGGCTGACTGACATTTCCATCTGTAGCGAAGGCTGGTAATTAACAGGAAGGAGTATGCCTGCAGCATTGCACCATCTGCTAGGGAAACGGCTCAATAAGAAAGGAGCTGGATAGCATCTCAGCGGTGGCGCGATCTGGTTCCGACATGAGGCCGGGCATCTGTTAGCTGAGGAGACGGACTATTAGGGAATTCGACTGGGAATGAACAACATGGAAAGCGCACTCTGACCTAGCCCATAAAAGCAACTCTTTAGAAATGGTGTCTTTTTATCTTACTTACCCAAGCCTTCTGAAAATGGTTTGCCAAGGGACTATTACAGGTCTGTTTGAAGGAACGCAATGGCTTCAAAAAATGCTGTTTTATTCCGACATGCAATTCTTGAAATCAGGATACAGCTGTCATCTTTCGACAATAGAGCTAATTTCAGAGCGAGGATATGAGGTTAAATTCCTCCTTTTGTCGTTTAGATTGGGGAGCAGTGGGGGTGGGGAAACAAAATGATCATTTCAATGCTATGCTATTCAAAATCAGGGAGACAAAAAAAAAAAAAAAGCAAAAAACCAAAAAACAAAAAACACAACCCTAGGACGCCCTGGCAGAAAGTGAGCAGATCAGAAATCACCCCCAAGTTCTTGTACTGTCTTCATGTGATGTTTTGTTTTAGTCGTACTGTTTTCTAATGCAAATCTTTCTCGTCATGAAAGACCACACTTTGGGACTTGGGGCATCAACCATACTTTACTAGTCTCAGGACCTTCGTTGGAGAGAATGTTGGTGGTTTAAGTACCAAATCTAGAAATGGGAGTCCAGTTCATGAGAGGGTTAGTGTGTACTTGGGGCAAGACGAATGGGCAGAACATCTCTATCAACCCGCCCCCCCCACCTCACCCTCATATTCTTAGGAGATAGATAAACTTCTTCCACAGGGGAACCCATCTTTGAGAGGGGTCAGCAGACAGAAACCTTGATCTCCCCATCATTCTATAGGTTAATGCAACTTTTAAGAATATGTATTAGGCTTTCAACCACTGGGGAGAAACTGTTGACCTAAACCATCTCAGTGAGGTTGGAGCTTAGAATCTATTACCACCATTCCCTTGACTGGGACTCCTGACTCATGTACAGAGTCCCCCAGATGGCAGATGACTTTGTGTGTGTGTGTGTGTGTGTGTGTGTGTGTGTGTGTGTGTTAAAGTTACTAAATCAGAGCCATTGAATGATATTTACTGAGACCTCATGGTACCATATGGAATCAAAAAATATATAGACCTTGGAATTTAAATTCATCTGAGAAAGGTGGACGCAGGATTCATGTTTAGAATATTTTGTTCTCTCTCCCTCTCCTGTGAATGCTGATTATTTTGCTGATCTACGGGAACTCTGATGTCTGAAAGGGGTAGTGTGAGACAAATAGAAAAATCTCATCTTTCCTAAATATGAGAAAAATAAAAATTACATTCACTGTGAAAAATAACACAAGGTTTATCCAGTTGTGTGCCAGTATAGGTTTAATAACTGTCTGTCTGGGGAGGGAGTAAAGACGCCCTGATTTGTAGCTTTCGCCAAATTCCATAGTGTAAATACCCCTACTGTGGCTGATTTCAAATTAGCCACGTTGAGATTTGCGAATAGATTCATATAAACTTTTGGAAGTCAGTGGGGACGCGTTCCAACACACCACTGATTCTATCCCTGCATCCTCCTATAGAAAGGATTGGTAACACCAGTTTGGGTTATGCTGGTGAAGGTGGTCTTTTTGATTCAATACAGTCACTCGTCACATACCAAAAGCATAGTTAACTCATATCTGTGTAGCATATTATAGCCTATAAAATCCATTCCTATTCCTCAATTCACTCAATCTGTTTAGGCAGAAACTGAGGCTGACTGGCATGCCATAGGCTTATCGTTTAGTAAGCAGGAGCTATGAACTAAGTATCTAAATGTTAATAGAAGAATTTATTTCTAAATAGATACCTACTGATCTGGGACATGGAACTGACCAGCCACCATATCAGTACATTTCTTTGTTTCTCCATTTCTGTTTTGTGCTGTATTACTTTGCTGTATTTTGGCCTCCACCTCCCCCTGTTACCTCGTCTCAACGACAGTATTTGAAATTGCCTTCGAATATGTGTAGCAGTGTCATGCCATGCGTTCGGCATTTGTCACCCACCGTACCTGCTCAGAATGTGGCTGTCACTTCCGCCCCCCTTGTTCAGTCCATCAGGCTTGGGTTGTATTGAAACCCATCACTTAAGAAACCTGGGTCTCAGGCTATGTTCTGGGAGCTCATTCAGTATTACTCATGGAATATCAGGAGAAGGAAGGATAGTCCAGGCAGAAGGATCCAAATGCCAAGGACCCTAGCGGATCCTTGGAAAGATAAACTACCGTCTTCAAGTTGTCTTTCTCAATATGTGGATGACAGTTGGTGAGTTTCTACCTTGATCTATTCTGAAACTAGTAAAAACAGAGAAAATGGCCCAAGGGCTCGGAGACATCCCCGCAGTGTCACCTTTGGAAAACCGACCCTCTTGGGGAATGTGAGGGTCTCATCCTTTGCATCTGCTGACGCTGTTCTTTTCCCCAGGCCATCAGTCTTTGGGGAGAACTGGCTTCTTCTCGGTGCCCACACAGTGCCTGGTGGATAGTAGCTCTGTGGTTTCTCTTCACCAAATTATATTTAATTCATGTCAGGGTTTTTTTTTTTTTCTTTATTGACATTTTTCATTGCTTTTGTATGACATGAGTAATTTCGTGTTCATTTTAGGATACTTCAAAATTTAAATGAGAATAAATTAGAAAATAAATAAGAGTGCCTCTTGTCTTAATCAAAAAAAAAAAAAAAACCCTGCTGTTAATATGTTTTACATGTTTGCCATATTTCCAGGATGCTTGTGTTTTTTTTTTAACTGCCTGAAATATTTCACATTTGATTTAGAAGTTTGTTTTACCTTTCTCACCAACTATTTTTAATGGCTTTTATATGGACAAATTATCTTTTATACGGATAAAACATCACTTTTTAAAAAATTTTTTTACATTTATTTATTTTTGAGAGACGGTGAGAGACAGAGCACAAATGGGGGAGGGACAGAGATAGAAGGAGACACAGAACCCGAAGCAGGCTCCAAGCTCTGAGCTGTCAGCACAGAGCCCGACGCAGGGCTCAAACTCATGAACCGTGAGATCATGACCTGAGCCGAAGTCGGACGCTTAACCGACTGAGCCACCCAGGCGCCCCAAAACATCACTTTTTACATCTATATGGTGTTGCGCTGTATAGTTGATCAAATTTATTTAACTAAGTTTTTGTTGCTCAGCATTCTGTTTGTTTAAATGTCTTTTCTTGTTATGAAAAATGTTGTGTCGAGTGTAATTAGCTATATCTAAACATTTAAAAAAATTAGCTAACATTTCTTACATGCCTCAAAGTAGAACTGATAGGTCAAAAGACTTTGACCCAGTAATATATCCTCCAGTCTTCAAGATCCTTCGGTAAGGCGCAAGGATATACATAAGCAGATGTTTTGCCTCCCCATCCTCAAAGCTGGAAAATAATACCCACGTCTCCCTCTAAAACAGTGGTTTCTTAGCATCCCTGATATGTGTCTCCTCCCAATAGCGCCTACTTGGTACCAAAATCATTTTGATTTGGGATGCAGGACATGCCCTACTTCCCTCTTGTGACCGACCAGGTTATGTGAGTCTATGGAAATTAGGGCAGTTGTCAAGTGTAGAGCCAGGAATTCTGGTGAGGAGTGCCGTTGTGCTGGATGGTGGGTATGAGTCATCTTGGGTAAAAATTCTCTTTTGCTTGGATCACAGTATAGCCTCCCACAACCATAAGTCCAGAACATTCCTCAGAAATATATCCTTCCGAGGCATTGGTAACCGGTGAGTGAGTGAACTTTGGAAAGGGGAATCCTTGGAACAGCCACATTTAAGCCACTGGCCAAACAGCTAGTTGGAAGTAAGAGAAAGCTCCCTTGTTGGCTGGTGGCGAGCCAGACCCCCCACAGGGATAACAATGAAATAGCTGCTAGTGGCTCTGAGAATATAACCAAATTATATCTTTGGGGGTCAGTGGAATATAAAGCCCCAAAGCCTGGCTCCAAAGGCTGTAAACATACATCCTCTTCCTGCCCCACCCTTTTGGGGCCTTCAGACAAAGAGGCGAGAGTGGGATATAATAGGGATCCATTATACAGGCATTTTTGGAAGAGGTGTGAGGTGTTCTTAGCTTGGGACAATCCTAAAGCAAAATTTGGCAAGATCTCCATAGATTCCTAGGACTGGATTTCTAGCACACAACACAAAATCTCACAGGATGTTTGCTGTGGATTGACAAATAGAACGTTCTCTACGGCGAATAAGATTGGCTTCCTCTTCTCTCCTAACCATTCTCTTTCTCGTATCTATTTTTTTTTTCTGCCAGCAGGTTCCCTTCAGCATTCAATCAAGGGCAATATGTCCTCGATCAACATTTTTCATTTTTTATGCGACACTGTCCTTTAAAGCTTTCCGCAGCTGGTTGGCAACGGAATGCTGCCAGTCTCCTCTGAGAGCCTCCCCCGTTGTGTGCACATCAGTCTCTATCCCAGAGCTCCCCAAGTGCCCTGGAGGCAAGTTGACTTGGAGAGTGTGTGTGTCTGCTTACCAGGCTGCAGCAGTGCTCAGGGTTTACAACAGCCAGGAGCCCGGCCATTGCAGGGTGAGGGGGAGGCATAGGGAGGTCAACAAGTAAGCAGGATGCAGTTGTAAAACGGCGTGTTTTGTACAAAAGAGAGAAATCTGGTATTCAATTTGGGGAATGGTAAATATGTCATTAAAACAACAGAAAAGGAAGGACACCTGGATGGCTCCATCAGTTAAGGGTCCAATTCTTGGTTTCAGCTCAGGTCATGATCTCAGGGTTCGTGAGTTTGAGCCCCATGTCAGACTCCACACAGAGCCTGCTTGGGATTCTCCCTCTCTCTCTGTCCCTCCCCTTCTCTGTCTTTCTCTCAAAATAAATAAATAAACTTAAAATAACAACAACAATAACAGGAAAGCATTCTGATGGAGGAACAGAGCGGAACAGGAATCAGAGACCTTGGATTCTTGGCGTTGCAATAACTTATTCATTCTCAATCCTTAAACAGTCAGGGAACTTATTTTACAGTCCATTTTATTTTTTTATTATTTTTTTAAAATTTATTTTGAGAGATAGAGCAAGTGGGTGAGGGGCCGAGAGAGAGGGAGACAGAGAATCCCAAGCAGGCTCCGAGCTGTCAGCACAGAGCCTGATGCGAGGCTCAATCCCATGAACCGTGAGATCGTGACTCGAGCC